GTAAACAAAAACATTAACCATTTGCCAACTTGTTCCCACAGGAAATTAAACCGTTCCAATTACCACCGTACCAATGTCCACCGTACCATTTACCGCCTTATACGTTACCACCGTACCATTTACCAACCACAGCAACGTTTCATAACACTTTCACCGAGATTGCTCAGGTTCTGCTGGAATCTCAGAGAACCCTAAATAATGTTCATAGTTTATCTAAATTAAAATCAAGCCTGTCCACTACAATTACTGCAATTCCCACCATAATTAATGGTAACTGCAACGCTCATCATTTAAATCACCATTTACAAAACATCAACACCAACAATCATCATCGTAACAACAACAATACAATTGATTGTTTGAACAGTGCCAACAACAACAACAACAATCACAGTAATATAAGTAATTACTCAAAGATTAACAATCTACACCACCGGTCAAATAATAACGGTAATAGCGGCATCACCTGTAGTGGTAATAATAACAATGGTGATACAACAATTACTGTATTACCTTTGATTAATAATCGTAAATTAATTTGTGATGATGATTTTATTGATCGTTTTGAAGCTCCACTTGATTTATCTGTAAAAAAAGATACATCTAAATCCGTTCCAACTGATTTGTCATGTAAGAAAAGGCCACTGGTCAGTGATGATGATGATTCAGTCAACACCAATAATAAGAATACCAGTAAAAATAAAAGTAAATTAACTCGGTGGTGGTGGTGGTGGAAGTAGCAATTATATTGATAATATTCAAAGTAAAATTTGTTTCCAATCAAGTAAACGTACTAAGCAAACTAATCATCAACAATCATCAACTAATTTTCACCAGAAACAACAACGAAATCAACAATTTACTCCATCACCAATTTCACTGCAATCACAGTCTCAGGTATCAGTTACAACACCTACACAACAACAAGTAAATTGTTCACCAATTGGACAGATAAAAAGTCAATCAAATCATCAGCACCATCCACGAAAACAATCACCGATTCCGTTACCATCATCAGCATCTCCGGTTGAAGGTACATTAGCACCAACGACACCACAACAACCCAAACCCAAGAACCAGAGACAACCAACAACCTCATCTTCACCCTGTTCGAGTCAACAAAGTAGCCCAATGTCACCAATGTCACCGACGCAATTAAACACAATCAACAACACTACAACTAACAACAGTGTTAAAAGTTCACCAGCTCGTTCACAAAATGATCCTTTAGATGATTCAAATTGCCAATCACCATCATCTAACCAGAATAGTGATCATCTTCATCACCATCATCACAATAATCAACAATTACAATCTAGTATTACACCAGCAAGTAGCCTTATTTCAAACACTAATTCATCTTCACCGATTGATTTATACAATTCAGAGACCATTTTAAGTTGTGATAAATGTGAGAAAACTTTCAACAAATCAAGCTCATTGGCTCGACATAAATATGAACATTCCGGTAAGTTAATTACTTTCTAATTGATTACAATTAAATTCAATCAATCATCAAAAAGAAAGAAACAAACTTTCAATACAAATGATTCCATTCATTTATCTATATCTTTTTACTCTCTCTCTCTCTCTCTTGTTTTTCTATCTTTTTCATGTTACTAATTTTTTTTCTTCTTCTTTTTCTCCACCTACTTTTCCTCTCTCTCTCTCTCTCTCTCCTCTCTCCCTCTCTGGCTTTTACCTCCGTTCTCCTGATCCTCTCTGTCTCTCTCTCTCTCCGTCTTATTACAACAGGACAACGTCCACACAAATGCGATGTTTGTAGTAAAGCATTTAAACACAAACACCATTTAACTGAACATAAAAGACTTCATTCAGGAGAGAAACCATTTCAATGTAAAAAATGTTTGAAACGCTTTTCCCATTCAGGATCATATTCTCAGCATATGAATCACCGATACTCTTATTGTAAACCCTATCGAAATTAGCATCTCTCACCTTTAACCATCTTCCTTTCTCCCTTTCTCCCTTTCTCCCTCTTCCCCTCTCTCTCTCTCCTCTCACTCTACACAACAACAACAACAATAACAACTTGTAAACCTTTGGACTTCTGGATATTCATTACCACAGGTCATCTCATCTTCATCTTCATCTGCATCTCCATCATCTTCATCTTCATTCATCTTCCAAGACATTCTTAGGCCTAAAAACAACAATGAAGCAAAACTTTTAATCTCTACAAAAAAATTAAATCATCTCTCTTTCTCTCCACCATGGAAACATCATGATAATCTTCATTCCTTTTAAATGATCATCTTTACAATCAAATCCCCTTTCTGTCTCTCTCTCTCTTTCTCCCTCTGGTTATCCCTTCATCCAAATCATCAGTATAAACAATTGATTAGCTTCTACTGTCCATCTTTAATTCAAATTGTATTTTATCAATTCTAAAATACTGTCCAAATTAATTTCTTTCCTCTCTCTCTCTCTCTCTCTCTCTCTCTCTCTCCCTCTCCCTCTCCCTCTCTGGCTTTTTACCTCCGTTCTCCTGATCTTCTCTCTCTCTCTCCGTCTTATTACAACAGGACAACGTCCACACAAATGCGATGTTTGTAGTAAAGCATTTAAACACAAACACCATTTAACTGAACATAAAAGACTTCATTCAGGAGAGAAACCATTTCAATGTAAAAAATGTTTGAAACGCTTTTCCCATTCAGGATCATATTCTCAGCATATGAATCACCGATACTCTTATTGTAAACCCTATCGAAATTAGCATCTCTCACCTTTAACCATCTTCCTTTCTCCCTTTCTCCCTTTCTCCCTTTCTCCTCTTCCCTCTCTCTCTCCTCTCACTCTACACAACAACAACAACAATAACAACTTGTAAACCTTTGGACTTCTGGATATTCATTACCACAGGTCATCTCATCTTCATCTTCATCTGCATCTCCATCATCTTCATCTTCATTCATCTTCCAAGACATTCTTAGGCCTAAAAACAACAATGAAGCAAAACTTTTAATCTCTACAAAAAAATTAAATCATCTCTCTTTCTCTCCACCATGGAAACATCATGATAATCTTCATTCCTTTTAAATGATCATCTTTACAATCAAATCCCCTTTCTGTCTCTCTCTCTTTCTCCCTCTGGTTATCCCTTCATCCAAATCATCAGTATAAACAATTGATTAGCTTCTACTGTCCATCTTTAATTCAAATTGTATTTTATCAATTCTAAAATACTGTCCAAATTAATTTCTTTCTCTCTCTCTCTCTCTCTTTCTTTCACAAACCTACACAATCTCTAATTATTACAATATAATTAACTATTATTATTATGTATTATTATTATTTACTATTATTGTTGTTATACAAGAGAAAAAAAAAATAATATAAATCATATGATTGTATTAATACAAGAAAATTAGATTGATTATCTTGCAACGAAAACAAAGAAACAAACAAAAAAAGACAAAATTTGACATTGAAGATGCTTCCAATTGCCATAAACACCAAATTGTAACATAATTAAAGAACTGGATTAAATTAAATCAACAACAATGATTACATATTCTCTCTCTCTAATTGTTTTCCTTTATTCACAACATATCATTAAACAATACGAGGGATAATCTACTGATATTGATTAACAATTAACTCTTTGGAAGTTAACAAACAGGTAACATGAAGCACCTCAAAGTTATTAATTGAATTAAAAGATTATCCCTTTGAAAGTGGATTATAAATGTTGACACCGAAAAAGGGATAATTTATTTACCTTTGATTTCTCATGTTAACATACACAATTTACTTAAGAAAATCCTTCTAAACAATTAAGATCAACAATCAAATTGTTTGTGTAAATGAACAATTTTAACACAAACTCGAAAGGAAAAAAAAAACTTCTCAGTCAAATGGAAAATGACAAATTGTAAAATGATGAAATTGCGACAATTAACTAGATCAAGTTAACCAAATGAATCAAATTACTTTTAATTGTAAGAATTAAATAGATGGCGTTAGTTAGAAGAGGAATAGGAAGACACCAAAAGGATTAGATTGTTGATTCTCTTGAAAAAAGTTTCATTTTCTAATGAAAACTGACCTGTGATAGAAAAACAAAAAATTCTCTTTTGATTGTTTACTTTTCTTTATCTTATCTTCTTTCATCTTCTTTCATCTTCATTCCTTTATCTTTCTCTCTCTCTCTCTCTCTCTTTTCATCTTCTGCTCCCTTTCATCCTTCCATATACCTCCCATCATAACCCTCCTTCTCATCTTCCTCATCCTCTCATATAAAATCAATTGTTTTACTTTTATTGTTTTTAATTTCGTCCCAAAAGATGACCAAAGTTATTTACTAGATCACCTGGTTGTCCAAACCTTTGACCATTTCTATTTAAATTACAGTTGTGATCACCTTTAACCCCATCATGGAAACAACAACAACAACAACAACAACATTTAAATCATTTACAAACCGTAAATTTAAGTGTCCCGAATGTGGTAAAGCTTTTAAATTCAAACATCACCTCAAGGAACACATAAGAATCCACTCAGGTGATAAACCCTTCCAATGTTCCCACTGTGGTAAACGTTTCTCCCACTCTGGATCATATTCATCACATTTAACAAGTAAAAAATGTTTCAAAGTTAATCTCAAAGTGTCCAACACCAACACCAACACCAACATAAACACCACCAACAACAACCACAATCACAACCAAAACACCAACAAAAACAACAACAATATTAACCATGTAAACGATAATAATAATAACAGTATAATGAATACCTCAACTAATGGTAGTGTCAATGGCAATTTAATTTCTCCTAGTGCTGTTAACAATATTCTTAATCATCATCACAATTTAATTGCTAACAATCTTAGCCATCATTTTACCAACACAAACCTTGGTAATCATCACTCTCACTCTCATTCTCATCATTCTCATTCTCAACAACAACAACAACAACAACAACATAACAATTTAATTACAAACAACAACCACAACCACAACAACAACAACAATGTAAACAAAAACATTAACCATTTGCCAACTTGTTCCCCACAGGAAATTAAACCGTTCCAATTACCACCGTACCAATGTCCACCGTACCATTTACCGCCTTATACGTTACCACCGTACCATTTACCAACCACAGCAACGTTTCATAACACTTTCACCGAGATTGCTCAGGTTCTGCTGGAATCTCAGAGAACCCTAAATAATGTTCATAGTTTATCTAAATTAAAATCATCCCTGTTCAACTCAATTCCATCTCTAATCAATGGAAATGCTCATCAACAACTTTCCATCAATCCATTTGACCCTTTCAACATATTCACTGTCAACAATCAATGGATGAATCGTTCAAACGACATTAATGTCAATAGTGGCCTCTCCTGTAATAATGACAACGAGGATAAATCAGTCGCTCTATTACCTTCGCTTGATTATTCACAATCAATTTTCGATGATGATTTTATTGATCGTTTCGAAGCACCACTTGATCTATCTTTAAAAAAAGATACTTTCATGTCCGTTCCAACTGATTTGTCATTCAAGAAAAGACCAATGGTCAGTGATGAAGATTCAGTGAACAGTAATAATCGAAATACCAGTGAAATGGAAAGTGCATTAACTTTTGATTGTAATTATATTGATAATATCGAAAGTAATATTTGTTTGCAAACAAACAAACTCTCAAAACAATCAAAGTATCAACACCATCCAAGAAAACGATCTATGATACCGTTACCATCATCAGTGCCGATGAGTGGCCTCATCTCGATCATCAATTCAACTTCACCGGTTGATTTATCTCATCCTGAGACCATTTTAAGTTGTGATAAATGTGAGAAAACCTTCAACAAATCAAGCTCATTGGCTCGACATAAATATGAACATTCCGGTAAGTTAATTACTTTCTAATTGATTACAATTAAATTCAATCAATCATCAAAAAGAAAGAAAGAAAGAAACTTTCAATACAAATGATTCCATTCATTTATCTATATCTTTTTACTCTCTCTCTCTCTCTCTCTTGTTTTTCTATCTTTTTCATGTTACTAATTTTTTTCTTCTTCTTTTTCTCCACCTACTTTTCCTATCTCTCTCTCTCTCTCTCCCTCTCTCCCTCTCTGGCTTTTTACCTCCGTTCTCCTGATCCTCTCTCTGTCTCTCTCTCTCTCTCCGTCTTATTACAACAGGACAACGTCCACACAAATGCGATGTTTGTAGTAAAGCATTTAAACACAAACACCATTTAACTGAACATAAAAGACTTCATTCAGGAGAGAAACCATTTCAATGTAAAAAATGTTTGAAACGCTTTTCCCATTCAGGATCATATTCTCAGCATATGAATCACCGATACTCTTATTGTAAACCCTATCGAAATTAGCATCTCTCACCTTTAACCATCTTCCTTTCTCCCTCTTCCTCTCTCTCTCACTCTACACAACAACAACAACAATAACAACAACTTGTAAACCTTTGGACTTCTGGATATTCATTACCACAGTTCATCTCATCTTCATCTTCATCTGCATCTCCATCATCTTCATCTTCATTCATCTTCCAAGACATTCTTAGGCCTAAAAACAACAATGAAGCAAAACTTTTAATCTCTACAAAAAATTAAATCATCTCTCTACTTTTTTGATCTTTATCATGATGACCTTCATTCCTTTTAAATGATCATCTTCACAATCAAGTCCTCTTGTTATGGTTATACCTTCATTCTAATCATTAATCAAGTATAAACAATTGATTAGCTTCTATTGTCCATCTTTAATTCAGATTGTATTTTATCAATTCTAAAATGCTATATGTGTTTTCTACACACAAAAGACTTTAAAATAAACATTCATTTATAAATCATCTTATCTTTTGGTGTTCAACAAGTGGGTCTACAAATTTTGACCTTTTCTTTTTTTTTTGTTTTCTTCTTTTCGTGTAACTATTTATTCATTGATAATCATCAATCCCCTTTGTAAACTAATCGAGGAAATGATAATAAACTTTCAAGGAATTTCGAAAAGGCAATGACAATATTATCTTTGTAACGAGGTCCAACTATTTGCAAAGCTAAAGGTAAATTTGTTGACTTTGAAAGGGCACAAGGTAAACTTAAGGCCGGAAGTCCGGCCAAGTTTGCAGGTTGAGTACAATAGTCTTCGTTGATGGCATCTTTACGGTTCCATTCCGAGTATGTACAAGAAGAGGTTAAAGTGACCGGTGTTAAAAGTAGATCAATTTTCTGGTCATTGAAAACCTTATCAAAATCATTGACAATTAATCTTCGAACTTTAAGAGCTCGAAGGAAAAAATTTTCATAATTTTCTTTTAAAAGGAAATAATTTCCAGCCATGATTCGACCTTTCACTTTTTCACCCAAACCTTCATCTCTTGATGATGTAATGAAATTCTCAAAGGTTTCATTGTCTGGGGAATTAATTTCAATCTCTGATGAAGATAATGAAGAAGGAGAAGGAGAAGAAGAAGAAGAAGATGATGATGATGATGATGAAGGTGATGATGAAAGTGATGACGTTGAGTTTGTCCTGGTTTCTTTGGTTAATGTTTTACTGTTCACTTTGGAGGTGGTCAGTACTTTTCTCGAACGATGTCCATACTGAATACCATCGTAACAGGCAAAATTTGAGGCCACTTCAGCTTGATTGATAACAGAATAACATGATAATGAATAAGGTGTATGGGGAAGTGAAACTGGTACCACAGAGATGCCTTTAGATTTTAAAAGGTTAACAGTTGAATTGATTAGTGACTGAATCTCTGGGGATATAAATTCAGGAAGATACTCATCGGGTAAACCAATGGTCAGTTGATTAATGGGCAATTCTGTTCCCAGAGGTTTGTACGGATGATTCCTTGAACTGGTTGAGTCTTTTACATCCCAACCTTGGATAGATTGGAAAACAATTTCAACATCGTCAACGGTTCGACCCATTATCGCAACCGTATCCATGGAATGGGTTAAAGGTACCAAACCATAACGGGAACAAGCTCCATAACTTGGCTTAAAGCCGACGATACCACAATGGGCGGCAGGATTTCTTACAGAACCACCGGTGTCCGAACCAAGTGCAGCGTAAACAATTCCTGATGCAACAGCAACAGCAGAACCTCCAGAACTACCTAAAAGAATATTTATAAGAGAGTGAGAGAGAAAAGAAATCAAATTATGAATATCAATTATCTAAGTAATGAAGAGATAGATCATTTGCTTTTGTTCTTTTTTTAATCTCTTTTTTTTCTCTTCACATCCTTTAAGAAAAAAGAAAGTGAATCAAGAAAAGAAAGAGAAAGAAAGTAAATGATGCCTGCAATATGGAGGAAATATGTGAAACTATGATGAGTTGCCGACGATTTCTTGGAACCAGAAACACATTGTTGTTTTCTTTTTCCAGTGAATCTTCAGGAAGAGGAGATAGAAAGATGCGGCTCAATATGCTCTAATTAGAGTAGCATTAATTGGTTGATATGTAAAAGAGAAAGAGAGAGAAGATGAACCCATATGGAAAAGATGATGAGCTCGCAGAAAGATTTTCATAAGCAAGAGAAAATTGTTAAGATAGGTGGGAATCGCCTTCGGTAGATTAAAGAGAAGTGGACAGAGAAAATTAATCCAGTTATCTTAGTCTTGGTAATCCAATTAATAAGAATCACGGAAGGTCAAGAGGGAGAAAGAGATTTAGATAAGAGATGATAGAGAGATTAAAGCGCTGAGTTAATCTAACCTAAAGAGTTGATTAAAAGCCGCTGATATTCCGGTTGATGAGTCATCTTGATTTTCTTTTCTTCTCTTCTTTGTTGCTAAGGCAACAAATTTTCTTAACAATTGTACTTAATTGTTGAGAGTATTTTCTGCGGTTTTACACTAAATTCTTTTTAAGTACCTCCACTTATGAACCATTCATCAGGATCATGATTCTCTTCATTTGAATGGACAATCTTATCATTTGTTGGGTCAATCGCTTGAAAGGGTAACCCTGAATTCCATGGGTTATAACAGGGACCGAAAATTGAATCAACTCCTCCACATCCCATGGCAAATTCATCTAAATTTGTTTTACCCATTAAAAGGCTTCCATTGGTTTCGATTAATTTATCAACTACAGTCGCTGAATAAGGTGGGATAAAATTTTCCAACATTTTCGATGCACAAGTTGTCTTTATGCCTTTGGTCATGAAATTATCTTTAACAGCAATCGGTATACCATCAAGGACTCCTAATTGTTTACCTAATTACCAGGTAAAGGATAAAAATAAGAGAGAGAGAGAGAGAACAATTAAACTTTTAGAACCAAATAGAGTAAGGATTCTAAACCTTGATCAAGATTTAAAATCTTTTTCTTCTTCGTCTTAGGATAATGTGAATCTAATTCTCACCTGATATATACCGTTGACTAGATTTCTCTGCTTGAGAAATTGCTTCGTCCGCTGTAATTGTAATTAAACCATTTAATTGTTTAGTTTGATTGACTCGCTTTAAACAAATTTCACATAATTGGGTTGGAGTAATTTTACCAGAAACTAATAGTCTATGTACATCACTTATCTTGGAAGATAATAGATTACTAGATGTAGCCATTAGTGAGAGTGAAAATGCAGAAATTAATTCTGATTGTCAACAATTAACTAATTAAACAAAAAATTAACGAAAAGTAATTTAGAAATATTAACAAATTTAATCACAGAAATAAAAACAAATCTTCAAATGTGTTGGTAACAAAACTAAGTAACCATGGAAACGAGAGGAACCGCCAAGTTCAAAGGTTACATTAAATTCACAATTAAAACAAATTTTTTATTTTCACTTATTAAATTGCGACAATTAAAACTGATTAACATTCACAATTAAGGCTAGAAGAAGAGTGTTTATTTAACCATTAAAGTAGAAGATAATTAATGTTTAATGGGAGGTTAAGACAATTTATCGAGTTGATATTTTCTTTTTATTCTGAAACTTGAATTCAATTGTTGGTCACAATTAAAGCTAATTGTTGAGAGAGAATGAGAGAGTTAGTGAGATAATTAACTCTCACCAGTTAATTATCAGATTCGTGATATCAATAAAATCAAATGATTTAATCAGATGTTCAAATAAATTACAACACTTATCAAATCAACTGATGAAACTTTGATTGTGTCTCATCAATTGTAATTGTTATTTACTTGTGATGGTGATGATTTGATTTCCCAATTGTTATTAATTAACTACCTGTGATTATAAAGCAAGGAAGACATTTAATTATTAAAACAACAAGACAACAACAACAACAATTAACAACAATCAAAGGTAAATAAGTAATATAATTATAACCTCCAACTGAGAGTGATTAATATTATCTGATAATAACAATTTCTGATTAATTGATAACAATACAAACTGGTGATAATTATTGATTTAATCAAGTGTTTACAATCAAATAGTACATTTTATATGTGTGGTAGTTAATTAAAGGGTTCAAATTGGTTAATTAACTTTGATTAATTAAAGAGGAAGGAAAAAAACTGAGAAAACAAAATCTTCAATTTTTTGAAAACCATTGAAAAAAAAGACAAATAAATTAAAATCACAATTAAAAATTGATTGTCCATCAAGTTAATCAACTGTATATAGATTTTACCATCAACAACAATTAAGATAATGATTAACTAAACATCAGCTAATGATGATCCGTTAATCTAGATATTAACCAGCAGGTTTGATAAGATAAGGTAAATTGTTTAAGGTTTTAATTGTTGAAACGGATTAACTGATTAACCATGAACCGTGTAGATGATGATTAATTGTAAACACTGATAACAATTAAAGAAACTTTAATCAACAATTTAAATCTTAATTGGCTAATTAACCTCCAAAGTAAAACAGTTTAAATGGTAACTAAAATTTTCCCATTCTCTTTAAATAATAATCAAAGTATCCACAACAATTAAACCCGAGCAATTTAAAACCTTAAATTGATTAACTTGTTAATTTAGTTAATTGTTTCCAAATCAGAAAGCTAAACATAAGTTTAATTGATTAAAGGGGAATCCAAGTTAATTTTAATCAGAAATCAATAAGAGCCTGAAAATTGTTACTAAAGTAAAATTAAATTCTGATTCTGATTCTGATTCTGAATATTTTATTCAGAGTAAAGTTCAGAACAAAGGAAGAAGTGAAAAAAAAAGAAAATAGGATGAACAAAGATTCATTGTCTCCATGAATTTATCATGAAAATCCTTTCAAAGTCCACAGTCTGAATGCTCTAAAGATTATGTTTCATTTTGTTCAAATGGGAAATGAAAATTTCATCAGTCTTTTTAATATGTACTGAATTTCATGATTACTTTTTTATTTACCAACTGAATTGCGATAAAATTTTCATGGTAATCATCATTAATTTATTGAATACCTGATTATCGTTAATACAATCAATTGTATTTACTTTGATACGGAATATCATGATTGTAAGTGAATGGAAGGAGAAGAAGAAGAAGAAAAAAGTTCTGGATTGAATTCTGGAAGATGAAAATATCTATTGAATATAATAAATCCATGAGAATCTAAAATTGATCAGCAGAATTCAAATGAATGAAAATGATAATCCAACCCAATTGGAAGATGATCAATCATCATGGTGGTCATCAGACTTGTGTAATCATCCCTTTTTTCCCATGATGATGATGATGATCTTGAAACAATCAGTGATGATGAAGATGAAAATTTCTAAACTCATAAACATGTAATATTTTTCATTCATTCATCATGATTCCTTTACAATTGAATGAAGATGCTACCAAATGCTTAAGGATAAACCATTGATAAAGTTGCTTTTTGATGACCAACAATATGAGATGATGATGATGACATTTTAATGACATTAAACTAACCAGGTAATCATAGTGTCATCATCATCATCATCATCATATGATTATTATTATTATTATTTGTTATCATCATCATGATAATGTGTCTCAGATGAGATAAAAATATCAGAAACTGAATCAACTATTAATAACAATAGTTATAGTAAAGTGGGCTGATGATGATGCTAATAACTTTTAACTAATCAAATTATATTGATATGGTTGATGATTTTGATTATGATAATGATTATCTGATTATTAATCATCATAAATATTGGTAATAAACATTAATCAGTTGATCATTTTTACTTATCTATTGAAATGATAACCATTAAGTATAATCATCATCATCATTCAGATTCATTCCGATAATATTACATATGTATCTAGATTAAGGTTCAGTTTTATCATCATCATGATGAAGATGATTAACTTCCTGTTGTAATTGATCAAAATCAAACTTCCTAATGTCAACAACCTGATGTATCAATTATATATATAAGAATCAATATAAATTCTGGTGAAAGTTATGAAGAAATTTTTTTACCTTCAATTTTCAAATCAATCTAATTTCTAATTTCTTTTTGTTGTGAACAAAAAATCGTAGAAACTTCATGAAACTCGTTGATTATGTTATAGATCAGGGGAAAGAAAAAAAAATTCTCGAACTCTCGAACTGAAACTTTCGAAACTAAACTTTTTATGTAAACTCATGACCTTTTCTTTCCCTCATCATCTTCATCATCCAGTTGATTTCTATCATGATAATGGTCATCATATGATTGATTTAGATTAGAACTTTTTTTAGATTCTTTTTTCTTTCTTTTCAAAAGTTGTAAAACTTTGATTATATAAACTGACAGTTTGATTAACTATTTCATTGAGTAGCAATTTAAATTTTCAAATTACTCTTTTTCTTGATAATAAATCAGATGAATCACTAAATTGTTTGGTCTAAATATTTCAGGTTAAGATTCAGAGTAATGGTCAATAAGACAATATTTGATTATTATTGATGAGAAATTAGCTTTGATTAACTGATATGATTTTGATACAAGAAAAAAAAAGTGTTGATATATTAATAATTTAATTTCCAATTAACTCTCAATGGTTACAATTAGCTAATCATTTGTATTGTCAATACAATGAGATGTTCAAATGTATTGAGATATTAAATGAATGAGATCCAGTTTGACCAAAAAGATGATGATAATAATAATAGTTAGTTGTTGGTCTTCAACATGATCATGACAATTATACTTACGATATCACCATTAACACTGACCATTGGTCAATCTTTATCAATCCTTGGGATAATTTTGTCCTTTGATTGTTATTAACAATTTGAATTGTATACAAGGCAAAACAATCAACCTAAATAATATTTCACTCATGGTGAGCTTAATGATGTTATCATCAAATATACAGTATACATGATGATTGATTCACCATTGATACATATTCAAGGTCGTAATCATGAGTTTATCAGTTGGTTACCATGAATTACTCACAGGGATTTTGATTATCATCATGTTCATCTTGATGATCATGTTTTGTTGGTGTTTACTGATGAAATATTTAGTTAAGGTAATTGTTAAGACAAGAAAAACAATCTGCTAAATGATATTATTAGTATTATTTTTATCACCATGTTAGTATTGATTGAAACTGAACAACAAGAAAAAATAATTCTGTTGGTGAAACTCAGATTATATTGTTATTGTTGGATAACAAGTCTCAAGAAAAACTGTTTAGTATCATCATGATTATGATTAGTACATTTAAGAAAGAGGGAAATGGAAAGGAAGGAAAAAAATTCTCAGAATTATATTCTCTGTATAAGAATATGAATAAAATGAAATCATGTAAGTCTTTCAATGGAATTAGACTGAACTTTTTTTTTGCTTTTTTTCCCTTCTATCTCAGGTAACTGTTAATACCAACAACAACAACTTCAGCACAAAAGTATATATTATTAATGGTAATCGGGGTTCATGGTGGTGGTGGTAAAGAGGGAGTGAGGTGTTGATTAACTTTCATCTCTCAGTGAGTTCATTGGATTTAACTCTCTTATTTCCATGCATGATTAGATTGCTATAGTTAATCTTATGATTCATGTAATATGCAAACTCACAAATAAATACACAATCTGATTACATGGAAGCTCAGATAAGATTTACATGGTGGGTAAGAGGAAAGAGAGAGAGAGAGAGAGAGAGATTCTCACCCATTTTCATCTTTCTCTCTAATGAATATAAACCAAATATTCACTGAGAACTTTTTCCCTCCCAGAACTTTATATTCTTTTGCTCTCTTACAATTCTAGAATTTTATTCGCTTTGATGATAAAGAAAATTTTTCCAATTCTTTGCATGGAAGAAAACACTTTAAACGAATTAGCTTTAGTTTATCAATAATCATGAAACGTAGCAGAAAAGACGATGAAAATTTCCGGAAACATCGAGAAAAAGAATTAGAAACAAAAAGTTCTTTCGAATCAAAAAACTTTTTCACCAGCCCAGTTTCACCCTCATCACCATCACTACCACCAAATATGCTGACACTTAAAATTGAGTCTCAGAAAAACCGATTAACCATGATAAACGTCATCATCAGAATTATCTGTTCACCATCATCAACATGGAGACGGAAAAAAAGTCATCTCACTTTTTTATTTCCTCGATAACAACAAAATTCAATTATGAATTTGCATTAATCATTGGTTAAGTGAGTCTATTTCCCTGATAATTAGCAGATAGTAAATTAAAATAAGCCATCAGAATTAATCAATCAAGTAATGAATTCATATATACATTAACGTAAAAAAAAGTTCATCCATCCTGAGTACTCAGAATAAGACAGAAAACATCATGAGCAACAAAAGGTAAGTTGAAACTGAGAAAAGAACATAAAAACATGAATAAGATTTACATCTTTACATTTCGTCTTAAATATTAAATTAATCTTCTTACATCCTGAGTTTCAATATAATCACACTGAAAATGATCAAACTGAATTTCCCCTGAAGGTGTCAAATGTTATAGATAAAAAAGCACGTGACTTACATGGTGTAAATTATTGAGACTTTCATGATAAATGAATTCACCAAATTGAGAAGATTTTTTTCCCATTGATGAGTTTTCCTGATGAATGAAAACAGAAACGAAAATTTTTTTTTCTTTTACATTTTGATGAATCCAAATGGAAATAATTATTTTGTATACATTGATTGTTAATTACTGTTCTAATTAATTTGGAAATGTTAATTGAATAAATGTTAATAACGATAAATGGCTAATCAAAATTCATGAGAGTAACTTTTTAACAGCTAATTGGATTGAATTTGGATTCTGAACAAGGGATAGATTTTCATGAATGAATTGTAATTGAATAATAACATTTGTAGCTTGTATTTAGAGATGAAAATTAATCATGTTTAACAGTTTGATTGTTTACCAATCATAAATCATTGACAATTAGATGGTAAAGATTAAATTGGATTAAATTGTTGATGAAAAAAAAAATCAATTCATCTGAGATTTTGGTCAATCTCTTGTTACCTTTTTATCAATGACACAACATAGTGATTGTTAAATTGTTCCCAAACAATTTACCTGATTAAATTTCCAATTGATTAATAGCTTTGTACTGTGTGTTAGTTAATTGTCAACAATTTAATAAGAAAAATAAAATAAAGACCAATGGATAAGATGATCTTTTCCAAGTCTCAAGTTGCCACAAAGATTATCCTGATATCGTTGAGACAATCAACTTTATTAGAATTGAAAATAAATTGTCATCACTAGTTTAAGATTATTGATTAGTTTAGATTATGAAAGTTTCCCCTGTTGATTAAGTAAATTGCTCAACGATATGATTACTTATATAATCATATGAGTTTTTTTTTTAATTAACTTTCAAATGAATCAATTTATTTATTTGATTAGTTGTCAATTAAATAAACCATTTGGTAACTAGGTAAATTAAGTTAATCAAGATTGATATTTCAAATCAAATGCAATCCAAACGTGTCCAACAATTAACAGTTAATCATATTTATATTATTAATTATGGGAAAACAATCATCAATGGATTAACATTGATTGGGTTAGTGTGATAATTTTTGCTCTAGTATTTTGTTTTTGTTTTTTTTTTGATAAAATAAATAAGAAACTGATCAAAGATTAACAATTTAATCACAAGCAATTTAAGTTAATCACTTGTCATTGATTAACTTTCAATTCTTACTGTGTAAACATGTACAACTTAACTGGACATGCTACATGTCCAGTTTCAGTGTTGTAATCAAAATCTTTAAATGATTCATGGTGATGATTATGATAAGTGATTAAAACGTGATGATTAATGATAACCTATCATAATTAATATCATCGTTACCATGATGATGAACATGATGGTGATGATGATTAAGATAATATGAGAAAAGTAAACATGGCAAAGGTAAATTATCATTTATCCTGATTAATAATCATCATCAATTTGGTAGATAGATTTTACTTTTTTTTGTATTATGTTGAAATTGTTATTCATCTAATTCAATTATTTATCAATTCTTACCTGAGCAATTTACCTGATGATAATAAACTTAACTTCTAAATGATAATCAGTTGATTGTTACTTGGAAAATGATAATTCTGATGATGGTGGTAAGTAAGTCATTGGAAATACGATAACAGAATAAATTAAGTTCCCTTTGACTGTTCAGAAGTCATGAGGAAATGTTTATTTAATTCAGTCAAGTTTCATGGTGAACTCATGGTAATCATAATATTTGTTTCATTGTATTCCAATTCAGTTAGAGTTTAAATTTCATTCATTTCTATGAAAATTATTTTCTTTCAAGTGATAGAAAAGTTTTCCATTTGTTTTGGAACTTTTATTTCTGAATTTTTTCTCCATCAATTTGACTCTGGAATATTTTTAGGTAAAACATTTTATTGATTCATGAAATGAATGAATGGTCAATGGGAAAAGTTATTGGCTATAATATTAATTTACATTATTCATGTTTTTATTTTCAGGGGGTTTCATGTTAATTTACTTGAATTTTAATAAGTTACTTCTCATTAGATTTGGAAATTAAACTTTTCTTTTACATGGTAAATATTCAGCATTTCAGTAACAAGTATATATAAATGTGTGACGCTGATTTTGTGTCTATGTGATAATTTTTGGTCTAATGTTGACCTTTGGTGGTTATCGGTAGAGAGGTTGATGTTGATTCTTTGAAAGATCGTGAGCTAATTGAGTTGATGGGTCGATGAGAAGATGAATGAATTGATGAACCGATAGCATCTCTTGTGAATGAGGGATAATTTGGTGTTTTCTTAAGACAACGGAAAAGATATTTATCAAAGTGAGTTCTAAAGGAACCGGAAACGATGTAAAGGGCAACCGGATTAAGACAAGAGTTACCAAAGGCAAGGATAAAACCAACAATTCTAACATAATGCCAGAAGGGGGTTGAAGCTAAAAAGGAAATTGGATAAAAGTAAAACCATATCATGAATACATGATTAGGGAAAAAGCAGATTGCGAACAGTATTATAAAGGATAGGACAGTTTTGGCCACTTTGGTTCGAGCCTTGGTTAATCTAAGGTGTGTTTGGTTGATTCCGTTTGATGAGGTTGCTGAAAGTGAACGCTGTGTATTGGCAAGTAGATGACGAGCCATCGCCAGGTAAAAGACACTGATGATGAAAAGGGGAAGAGCATAGAGAATGATAAACTTGGTCAGCACAATGAATTTGGCGTAATTGGTTCCTAAGGAGGCTGGAAATGGATAACATATTGAGATTGTTTTCTCAGGAGTTATTGGAATTTGCATGACAAATGAATTATATGCTCCAGGGAATGCAAGGAGAGAGGCGATTGTCCAAATTGACGCGGTTATGGTCAAGGTTAACTCTTTATGTTTGGTTGAGGTGAAACGTTTTAATGGAAGGACAATTGCCATGTAACGGTCAGCAGAAAGTACGGTTAAAGAGAAAACGGTTACACCTATGGACACATCACGAACAAATTCCGATAATTTACAAAGAAATTGACCGTAAGGCCAAGAATCGAAGGAGTAAATGGTTGAAACAAAGGGTAAGGCACCGGTAATAATAAGTAGATCACCAATGGAAAGGCTTATGATGTAAGTGTTGGGAATTGTTCTCATTGATTTATTACGTAAAAAGACAAATATAATTGTACCATTTCCTATCAAGCCGATTATGAACAATATTCCAAACACGATTGGTACGATATATGTTTCAGGTCGATATTCATATGGTACATAAGTATCGTTGTCGGATAGAGTTCCGTTGAATTTTAAGTTTATTGTATCAGTTAAAATGGTTGAATTCTCGTTGTTCAATGATATGGATGATGGTGAAGATGATGATGATGATGATGATATTGTTGATAAGGAGTCGAAATTAAATTGTAATGAAGGATAACCTTGATTAGAAGATGAGTTTGAATTTAATTCGAAAAAATTAATCGAATAGTAACTTGATGAAGGTACAACTTCACTTACAATTTGGACAATTGTTTCGTTCATAATTGTTTTCAATTCTAAAAACTGATTGTTAATTTAGATTAATGATTTACTTTAATTCCGATTGATAAGCGATAACAAATTCATTGGAAACCAATTGATTGATCAATATGTTCAAACTGTTCAACCTTATTTGAGGTACATCTCATTAGAACAAGAACTTTTTGTTTCATCATCATTCTCATCAAAAAACTTTCTCCTCGAATCGAGATTAGAACTTTTCTCTTGTAGAATACCATTGGTGCCATCTATTGGTAGAAAATGTCAACTCACGAAAAGTTTATCGAACAAAAATAAAAAAAAGATTCGAGAAAAAAGAGATACAATAAGTAAAATTACTTATTTTTATCGATTATTAGACAAGAAACTTTTTTTGCGACAATTGATCGACTGATAAGTTCCCATAAAGATCAATATTTTCACTGATGAAAATCTTGATTTTGATTGTGCTTATTGAATTTGAGGAAATCGGTCAGTTAAACTTTCTTTAATTATTTTGTTCTAATAATTATCACCAACACCTAATTTTGTGATTTGATTCGCGTTCATGGTTGAAATAATTCTTACTAAATTAACCCTCAATCAAATTCATCGATCGCAGAATTTACGAGTAAAAAAAAGTTCTAAACACTATTTTCCTTTAGAACTTTTTTTCCTCTCTGATTTGTTTTCTTTTCTATTTTACGCCAGACTTGTGATTCCAATATGACAGCTATCAAAGTGTATTTCGAAAACGATTGGCTCGAAAGAAGAGAGGAAAAGAGAGATGATGATGATGGAAAAGAGAGAAGAAAAAAGATGATTGAAGTCTCATGAGAGTAGTAAACAATTTCTTCCATTGTTTTTTGTTCAATTCGAATCTCTGAGTTGTTAAGTTTCTCTTA